ATTGATAAGCAATGCTAACAACAAAAAAAAGGCAATAAAACTAGCACTAATTAAAAAGGTTACAAGGTCTCATTACAGTACAGACAGATATGAATTTTCGCAACTAGCAACTACCTACCATCCGTATTATGCGTTTTTTGTTGTATTATTGTGTGACTTAAATCATGTTTTGACTATATAACGATAGTTAACTAAAAAAAGTAACTAATTGGTAATTAGTATGGTTGGGTTGGTCTACAGGCAATAGTAAGTTTGTATTGCCATGATGGACAGGAAGTGAAAGAATAACAAAGGATGCGCTAGCTGCTTGGTTCTCTATGTAATTATCTTACGTTGTTAATAGGTTATTTACCTATGAAATTTCCGTTCTGCCGTACTGGCTATTTGAAGTCCTTTTTTGCCAAGTATTATTTATGTTAATTGGGAATCGAATGCATAAAGTTTAAACATACGCAGACAGTTTTTAGCACTGATTTTGTATATAACCTATTATCTATAAAATTGTTGATCGAAGGCATAAGTATATCTAAGATACATCCCCGCGCGCGAAGTTTGCGAAATTAACGGCACGAGCGGAAAGTCCTAGCGCCGCCGCCGCCAAATACGATTATACTCGGAAATACACAAAATGCAACGTCTAAGTAATCCGAAGCTCGAACCCTAGTACCATCTTGGTTTTTACTGTACTTTTATTATTAAGGATTCTGATTTATCTCTCTCTCTCTCTGGTCGGTCCCTCATGACTGAGGATCGTGGTCAGCATGCTGATTGCATCTGGAATGGATGATCTGCCTCCACCGGTTTCTGTCCAGCGCGTCTCTCACAACCGTATAAAATTTGGACGACGACGTTTCTTTTATTTGATCTGTCCATTTAGTTAGTGAACGACCGCGCGATCGTTGGCCTTCGGTGTTCGAAACAACAATCAATTTTTCCAAATTGCCGTCATCCCTGCGCATTGTGTGGCCTAAGTATGATAGGATGCGTTGTCGGCATACAGTGGACAAACGAGTATTTATACGGAGCTGACTCAAAATCGATGCATTGGTGCGTTTCGCGGTCCAAGAAATTCTCAGCATTCGCCTCCAGCACCACATCTCGAATGCATCAATCCTTTGTCTTTCTCGGGCTAAAATTGTCCACGATTCAACTCCATATAAGAAGATAGGCAATACCAGGGCTCGTATCAGTCTGATCTTGGTTTTGATACTGATTCCTCTTTTCTTCCAGATGTTGTTTAGTCGGGTCATAGCAGCCATACCGATTCTCCTTTTTATCTCGGGAACGCAGCTGCCATCATTGTTGATTTGGGAGCCCAAATATATGAAGTGGTCGACGTTATTAATGCCAGGAATGATTCTGATTTATAATGTAGGCATTATTAAGCATTCTGTGGCTCAGTAATATTAAGTATGACGAAAAATTATATGTAAAAGCCACCGACAGTCAACTCCTTTTTAGCCGGACACGCAATCAAAAAGCCTATGTCCGGTTTGATCCGAACGCCTGGCAACGCTAGAGGTGACCGTACGCCTAATAGCCGGCGCAGGTACTTTTGTCCGAGGACTCTTTGTCCGCCAAAATCTTATAGATCTTATACAAGGGGCTTCATAATTGAACCTTACCTACAAAAAAGTGCCCATTCGACCTCCTATCATGAACATGGTGCCCACTGGACCCTCATAATTGGTCCTCGGTATTTTTTTTAAATGCGGTACTTTTAATCCGTCGTGTGCGTTACTCGGTGCAGTTGTAGGCGATCCATTTTGGCAAACAAATAAGTCCGCGGACTAAAGTCCCTCGTCTGCGCTCGCTTTTAGACATAGCTAATACAATACGAATAGCCATGTAAAGTGCTGCTGGCATAAATGACGACTCACACTACACCGCGCCGGGTCCGGACCGGGTGTCAGCCGTGCCGGGTCTAATATTTATAAATGCGAAAGTTTGTATGGTTATTTGTTATTCTTTCCCGTAAAATGGCTGAACGGATTTGGATGAAATTCAACACACCTATAGCTTATTATGTACCTAAAAAAAACCACCGGTAACCTCCTCGGCCCTTATGGGGGCGCTCTGGGATCGGCACACCTACGTGCGCCACTACACCAGAGCGTCCTCGGGCTGGCCCGGCCCAACGAGTGGACCGGGCGACGCGACTGGCGATGGGAGATTACTCTATGGTACTAGGTAATCCCCAGACGGGGTGGCCTATGCCGAATGGCACCAAGGACGCGCGGCTGGCATGCCGCGCCCACACCACCTTAGGGCCGACGAAGACCGGCGGTCAAAGCCGCCTGCCTTCTTCGGCCCACCCGTCTACGCCGGAGGGGAGCGGCCAGAGCGTCCTCTCCGCTGCCTTCTTCTGCCCTATCACAACCTCGCAGAAGGAGGCGGCAGCCTTCCATGCTCTCTCATTGCCAAGCATGGCTCGAACCATACTTGACAATGAGAGCGCTCCACCGCCGAGCGCCGCCACCAACGTGCGGCGCTCGTTTCGCCAGGCCGGGCACACGATCAGTGTATGCACGGCCGTGTCGTCGGGGGAGGCGCAGTGATGACACCGCGGCAACTCCTCCCGACGGGCGACACGGTGCAGGTAGTGGCCGAAGCACCCATGTCCGGTCAGTACCTGCACCAGGCGGTAGGTGAGGCTGCCCCGCTGGTACCCTACCCACTCCTCCAACACCGGACGCATCGAGCTTATTATGTACCTAGATTGACAGATAGGATACTTTTTACCCCGTAAAAATCTTAGGTCCCAGTGGGATAAAAAAACTAACTTTAACGCGGACGAAGTCACGGACAGAAGCTAGTATTACATACATTTTATATGGACACACTAACGCTATACCGAGCGGTAACCGAGTGCATTGTTTAAAGGTGTTATTTAAACAGTTACAAAAGTAATTGTATTATTGTTAGCAAAAAATCCATTGGTTAGCGTAAATAACTAGTTGGGCAGCAACTTATGGTCAGCAAATAATTCTAAATCAAACTGCATTTTGTATCAGCACTATAAATTTTTGTACAGGCGAAAATATAACAAAGCTGCAATGAGTGATCTATATATAATCAAATTATAATAAGCACTCAGAGAGTAAGCAAGGAACAATTGTGTTGTTCTAAATAATGAACCCATTTTCACCCCCTTAAGCTTTTACATTTTTGACAAAAAGATAATCTTTGAGGTCTTTTAGGAACCACCATACCAATAGTTAACAGTTTTGGAAGAAAATGTGAGAGAAAGTGTTATTTTTATTTATAAATTTTAAAAACACTGGCAATGTCACCTTATTGCACATTAATGCAATAAGGTGACATTGCCCATGCATTTTTTCTTAATGTCTTGAGAATCATATTATATAAAAAAAAAGAAACAATACTCTCTAAAATGAAATTACATCTAAAATAAAGAACACTTTTAATATAGGATTATGAACAGTTATTTTGCAGGGAATCAACAAATTTATAAATGCAAGCAATTTTAAATCAAAGAATCTTTTTTACCTGTAAATGGAAAATATTTGATAGACATATTTAATGTGTCACCATTCACTCGAAACTGTTCTCGACACACAACACTTAGAGTATCGGATCGCGACTCGACACTTTTTTGATTATTTCACACAGGACAGGAGTCCATATACTCGACAATTTGAACCCGTCCTCACAATTGAAATTTTTATGTTTTGTTATTTCAATTGTTTCCCTGACCAATCTTGGTATGTAATGGTGTTCTATCGAGATAATCTGTGGGTTGTGAAACTCAATCCAGTGGCTAGGACCAGAATTAATCAAAAGTTCCATGATGGCTGATTTCTGTGTATCGTTGTTCTTGATTGCTTTTATGTGTTCCCTCATTCAGCATGCTGCTGTTCGCTTTGTTTGGTCAATGTACTCACTGCCACAGCTGCAATCGATCTTATAGACACCAGGTTTCTTCAAGGGGAAGCTGTCTTTAGGAGACCGTAGGTATTGTGAAACCTTTCATAAAGCAGTGAAGACAGTGTTTAGTGAGTACTTATTCAGTATGTTTGAGATCTTGTCAGTCACTCCTTTGACATATGGCAAATAAACAGGTTGTCTGTCTACTCTGTATCTCTGGTGTCTTAGTTTGTGTCTAGATGGATAGTGTCCCTTGTATCCATTACTCTGTAAGACTCATCGTACATGCTCCAACTCTTCTTGAAGATGTTCCTCATCACACAGGTCATATGCATGGTTCATCAGTAAAGTCACTTCAGAGTTAAGATGTTTAGGGTGGTGATGCGAAGAGGCGTTGAGATAGAGGTCAGTGTATGTAGGTTTGCGGTAAATGGAATGATGTTTGCAACAGTGCCGAAATATCGGAAACTCGGTAAAAACAAGGTACATGGTAACAATCCTATAAATAACTTATATTACTATAATGTTCGTGACCATAAAAGTTTAAAACTACATAGAGTAAGGCTGCTAGCTGTATGAAGATTCAGCCAATGTAAATTTTTGGATAAGATATAGTGATCCAATATTATACTAAAAGTCCATTGCTGCTTTCATATTATTTTCATATAACGTAAAACATAAATTTACGTAGAAATAGATAATTAATCATTGACAATATCAGGTGAAGCTTGCCTCTCATAAGTCAGCCTTAACTTGTTTGAAATTAATCAGTCTATCTAATTTTGTACAAAAAAAAAGTGCTTGTAATAAAAAAAAACCTGCACTGATAGTTCCCCATGCTTAGATGGTTTCATGAAAAATTATTCATTCATGAGGATGGATTTATATTACTTACAAAATCTAATCGAAATTATCAATATTTAATCATTTGAATAGGACATTGAATTCAAGGAGATCTATTCTATTAATAAATACTAAATCCAAAGGCGTAAGCCGAAAAAGAATTACCATTCCCTATTTCAATTTTTTTCTTATCAGTCTATACTTTCGATAAATCCCGTAAATCCTTAAATTTTAATTAATAATCTTGAATATCAGAAATCAATACGCACCTGGTTATCTTGAAAACTGTTTGACCATTCGGAAGTCCAAGTTTTTACAGCAAACATATCTGATTTTTCATTAATATTATTTAAAAGACCCACCACATCCATTGTAACTTTCTTTTGGCTAAATGATTATTCTTTGTTTGAAAATTAAAATTCCGTCTCACAAACCCAAACAGACTGAAAAATCCAATAAATCAGCTGTGTTCTGCTATCTTCAGTTCACTGCACAGATTACACAGACTACTTAGATAATACATGACAGATTACTATGGTTCACTTCACTGTCTGTTCATTTCATTCATAATGTCAGATTCATGTCTTTAGTTAGGGGTGCTACAACATAACGGTTTACCGATAAATATTTATTCTACGACTCCTAGCATACCGATTATTAGCGACGGTCAGCACAATGGACAACGGAACTTCATTAAGGCAACCAAATTATCTTTTTATTCTAATATAACTCACCCATATAAGGCATATAAAATTTACAATCTTGGATCTATGCGAATATTACTACAGCGTGCTCTACATTTTTCACAAAAACATACATGTTTTTGTGAAAAAAGCCGAGTTCAGCCGACTGGTATATAGAGCGACATCGAGAATTTGGAGAAATAGCTTTGCTTTGTTAGTACACATAGTCACATAACTACCCGGTAAACCCGATAATTGTTCTACCTCTGAAAGCTCAGTTAAAAAAGTTCTTATAAATGTAACACATTTGCGCTTTCCCGCATACCAACGGATAACCCATTTAATGATGTCGATTCTGGCATGATTCTCTAAACTTTAATCTAAATTTAATATCATTCTCTACTTTTCATTATGTATAGAGAATGACAATGATACACTGTTGTCAAAAAGTTTAGGTTTAGAGAATCAAGCCAGAATTGACACCTCTCTATATCTATTCGTAATTTAAAAAGAAAGTTTTTCAGAGTTCATTTGATAGGGTATTCTATAGAAGGCAGATAATGGTGTCGATTCTGGCGTGATTCTCTAAACTTAAAACTAAATTTAACATCAATCTCTCCTTAACATTCCGTATAGAGAATGACAAGGATACACTGTTGTCAAATTTAAGTTTAGGTTTAGAGAATCGTGTCAGAATTGACACCAATACTTCTGATAATTTAAATTTTAGATACTGAATTTTTGAGGTAGAGGCTATCTATAAAATTAAATGTAGTGTAGATCTGAATAGAAAATAAATAACTACTTATGTTAATAAAATCATCACAAACAAAAGCTTTTTTTTCCTTAAAAAATTAAGTCATCTGCAGACCTTTATTTTGCCATATCTTTTAAAGTTTTTAATTAATTGAGTTCCATATAAACTAGATTTGTTACTAAAAAAATAATTTGTGAATTAATAAGCTTAATCTTACAATAAACTTTTAAGAATATTGATACAAAATTTCTATGCCAACTTTGAGAAAATACAACAATTTGTAATAACAGAATTGAATCTGAAAGCTTAATGTAGTTTTTGTTCTATTTCAGATATTATGGACCCTCAGCTCGAACATAGTTTCATTGAGAAAGAATACTTTGACCACTAGTTGAGTTGCTGTTCGCTGCATGGAACCATTACAAGGTTTATAATTAATATCTTAATTTACAGGATGTATCTACATTCAGTGTCCTGGATTGGGAAGGCAGATAGAACAGCGCCATAAGGCACAGTCTATCTACAGTCTATAAATATCATAGATAAAGGATGTGCATGAGTGCGTATCGGTATATGAATTTGAATTTGTAATTTCACAGAATTATCTTATTTAACTTTATCAAATTAACACAGCTTGAAACGACGATGTTATCTCTCACTTTTTTGGACCAAAAGTACATCATGCTGCATTTGTTCCTACCTTGTATTATTGTCAAGAAGCGTAAGCGTAAAGTGTAAGAGCAAGATATCTCATTTCCACACTATGTCAGTATTTAAATACAAAATCTATGATAAATATACACTTTCAGCCCATCTATCAACCCTTCTAGCTAGCGTTTTAAGTTTGACGGTCCATAGCTAAAAGTAAATATTACATCAAGCAAAAAGTTATTGCCTATGCAGTTTTGAAGCTGATTTATTAAACATAATTTCGTGTGCTTTTAAAATTGCTCAAACATAAACATATATTTTTTACTCTTAGTGGGCCGATAGATGTGTTCTGAAGTATTTAATATTCCACTTTTTTGCATTTCCGCTGTCACCTGCCTTCAGAATGTTAAAAAACACTCGATGCGTTTAAAATTAAATTAAAAAAATAAAGGTTATAATTTATTTTTTTACATTAAATAGTTAAGCTTCTATTTTTAAATGTTTTTATGTAAATTATTAATAAAATATAATTAATATTAAAATAAATAACTAATTGTTTCATATATAGTACAAATATGTTTCTAACCATATTAAATATTGTGCTTCTGTGATACGTTAATATGTTTCTGCCTTTAAGAGTAGTAATTTTTGTACTGCAGTTTGCAGTCTGTATGTAGTATCTAAGTAGTTTGTGATAATGTCAGACGAGGAACTTTTGTTTGTCCACGAAGGACGCAAGGGACACCCTGAATATGCCGAATCGCCTTCATGAGTTATCTCATATTGAGGTAATTTTTCAATTTGATGACTCTGTAATAATAAAGGAAGAAAAAAACAGCCCTTGCTGAGTTTCTTGCCGCTTCTTTTCAGTACAATCTAATTTAATCTCTAGTCTGGCAACACAGGATTGAAAAAAAAAGTGACGTCTGACGTCATTCATTCATTCGTACGACGAATTCACATTTCACTCACAATCAGTCTTCAATTCAATCTGTTCAATTTGGTTGCAAGCAAAAGCACAACGTAGCACATCGTAATTATCAAGATTAATTTACTCACCCTGGTGAAAGTTTTTTATTTAATTTCCTGTTGTAGTCTGTCTGTGTTCTTAAAAATTCAAATATCTCGTCAAAACAGGTGCATAGCATTATTTACTAATTCGTGTGTGACATACCTACGTTCTTCAATGTCGTGGCTACAAATAATAGTTTCATTTTTGCAGATATGTCTCGCTACAGAGAATGGGACCTTTCTTGCAAGGTTTACGTAGGAAACCTTGGCACCAATGCATCAAAATATGAAATTGAGAAAATTTTCTCTAAGTACGGTAATATAAGAAACGTGTGGGTGGCGCGGAATCCGCCTGGCTTCGCATTCGTCGAGTTTGAAGACCCCCGGGACGCTGAAGATTCTGTACGAGGGCTGGATGGCACGTAAGTGAAAGATATTCCCTAACTTTGTCCTATTGATTTTGCTATGCATCGACGTGACCTTATTATCTCTGCCGCCATTTTGATTGTATGCTTGATGGCGGCGTGCCCTCCTCGCATTTGTCCACTCCACCCACCCCAACCAGATAATGGCCGGTGATTTCGATTAAAATACCACGCCGCTACGTAGCTCGAAAGTTTATTACAATTTCGCTAACGTTCTGTGTGAATTAAGACTTCTTCATAGTTTTTCTTTCCCATTGTTTTTTTTATTGACTAAGAGGAAGTCAGCTTTAGATAGTTCAAGATCAATTCAAACAAAAGTCTTATAACTAGTTAAGCCAAATTAATGTAATTTTGCTTGAAGCCTAGGTGATTAAATGCCATTGTAATCTTATTTTTTATAAGTACTCAAGTCCATTTAGCTGATTGTTAATGTAATAACATTCAGTTAATTATTAGGTACTTAATTAAATATATATACTACACAAGTTCTAGCTACAGAACTTTAAGTAAAAGGTTATGAATTGTTGCCAACAGTTAGTTCATACAATCAGGCTTTATGACAATGTGGACTAATAATATCACATTTAAAAAATCACCACAACCATCTCTTAGCCCTTTAGGGGATAAAGTTCAAAGTTATTCTGTACCCACTGCACAGTGTTGCACTATTAAAATAGGACCTTAACACTGCCTTCAAATTTTCATTGTTTATTGGTATGGAATTTATCAAGGAGTCACTCTGGGGATTATTCTTATTTGTAGCCTAATGGCTCAATTACACTAAGTCATTAGCTGTATTTGGATGCAAGAGAGACATTACTTGAATTTGGGTATCCAAAACAATATTTACACTGGAATATGGGCTTGAGTGGAGACCGTGACTCAGTAAACGTAGTGTAGGATGCCCTGAGACGAGAGGGGGTGATGACATTCATAGGCTGCCTGGAGTGGGCTGGATGAGTGTGGCAGAAGAGTAGTGGCATGCATTAGGGGACACCTATGTCCAGCAGTGGAAAAGCATGGGTTGATGGAAGACTGTCGGATGAAAACTACCCGAATTCCTTGGCAATTGTATTTGGTTGAACTTAGTTTTAGTTTTTAGTCAAACTTAGTTTAATTGAGCCATAAGGAGGTAAACCATTGTAGGCCTTGGTACATTTTAGATATATATGCACGCTCCTTAGATCCGTTTCATTATTAATGTGAAACGCTTGAGTCATAAGTGTGCTACAGTACAGCACCTCCATTCTGAGACTGATATGTTACTTTATTCTATTTAAATGTCACTTGTCTTGGACTGGGGAACATTTTAATACCTAGAAAGTTATTTTATTGAATGATATAGATAATATGTTGCTTTCATGTTTTTTTTTTCTTTTAGACGTTGCTGTGGTACTCGCATTCGTGTGGAGATGTCAAATGGTCGTACAAGAAGAGATAGAAGGTATTTCTGGTTGAATTTTCTACAACCCTTTATTTCCTGATTTATATCAAGTTATAATTAACTAAAATTCATAATTACCACAATACTCTTTTACATAAAGCTTAAGTTGTGAATTATGTCGCAAAATACTGATAAGCTCTTTAGGGCAGTTGTTTTTTGTTTTATAAAGTTTACTTATCCTTGATTTATAGTAATTAATACATAATCTCTAATTGATATTTACTAAACAATAAATTTTCTCACAGTTAATGTAACATACTATAATCTGCTCAACAGAGCAACAGTAGATTTAATTTATTGACATGAAGTTATTAAAAGTGGTGGGTGTTGGAACGTTTGCAGGTCCATTTTATCAACAAACCACCAACACACCGACCTCACCACATCTCTTCACCACAACTACGGCTCGTTAACCAATAAGACATCCGCGAACGCCGCTTGCAACAACATCTCGCTCAACTTCAGCGATCGGCTCTCCAAACTACTACGCGCAGCTGAAGCCTCCAACAACTGCGTCCTAACTATTCTCCCAACCGCCATTACCTAGTCCTCCACCATGACAACCTGGATAATTCAGCACTATTGCTGAGGGCCACCAGATAGGAACCAATCACCCTGAATACCATTGCCTGAAACCTGATGCTTCACCGTCTGCACACACACGTCGTTCACCGAGGCACCGAGCTAGAAATACTACTTACCAACGGTCAACTCATCTCCCCGTGTAACCGCATAGTTTTCTCAAAACTCCCGTTAACATCAAACGGAAGATTACGTTGAACCTCTGCCTTCGTTCAAGTTAAAATCCCCTGGCTTCAGCAGCCCCACAACGGTCAACGACCTTCTCCGCAGGCTCACCAAGGCTCGGTACTATTTGCATCCTATACTTAGCACTACCTTACCTTACCTATTAGTATTAGAAAAGTTTGTTTGACGCGTTAGGTGTATTTAGGTTTGACTATTAATGTAGCCAGTTAAAAGTTACAGTACATTTAAATTTTCATTATAGAAACCCAAATTATGCCACGAGATTTGTCAGTGATCTCCATATTCCAAATTTATTAACATTTTTTTTACATTTTCGGTTAGAAAGGGACTTGCTGTAAAATGATTGTTAAAAATGTTTCGTAGAGGGATGCTGGTGGGTTTAGGGCTCATGTGCTCGCGTGTATGTCCGTAGATCGCGTAGCCGCAGCCCGAGGCGTCGCTCATACTCGCGCGGACGGTCGCTGTCGCCGCGCCGCTCGCCGTCGGTGCGCCGCCGGTCTCCATCTGTACGTCGCTCCCGTTCACGCGATCGACGAAGTCGCTCTGACAGCAAGAGCAGGTAATGAGGTACTTGTACAAACCAAAACTTTGACTTTTTATTTTCACTAACAGCTAATGAAATGCTTTATAAAATTTTTACCATGAAGATTTGTGTTTAAAAAAGGATTTAATTTTTTTTAATAACATCACATTCAACAGCAGTTTATATAAATTCTCAATGAGGATCATTACTAGGTCAGCAAATCACTCAAAATCTAATAAGCTTTTATAATTAATATACTTTTTAAATCATCAAAATCGTTTATTCATTGCGATTTTATAACTTAATTTTATTTATGGTAGCCAATATTACCGGCGACCGAAACGTATGACGTCACAGACTTTGATCGTGGTTCACTTGGTCGAACTTATGTAGCGTCTCTACGCTCGCTCGCGCCCGAGCGTTAGAGTTCTGTGACGTTACAGTCACCACGCGGCCAGCCGAAAATTCGTTTAGTAATTTGGTCATAATGGTTCGGTAATATTTCGTAGAGAAAAAATTTAACCACTGTATTTTATGGAACCCTAGCTCTATAAATCTGCATTCTCAACTTAAATTGTTATATTGGCAAAAATAAATATAAAGCTAATTGAATTTTGGCAATTGAACAAAATTTTTTTGTATAAATCACATGACTGAAATTTTGATGAAGTTAGTTAATAGTGTGTTAAGGTTATCAGATAAAATTGTACATTATTTTTCCAGCAAACATTGTTGTGATAAATATATATTTTATTTGCAGGTATTGAAACATGCATTAGCAGACAGTACAAGAGAAACCTTATTTGTAATATATAGTGACACTCTAAATGTGGATGTGTGCGTGTGTGTGAAATTTTTAATTGATTAAGTACGATCTATATTTGAAAGTATATTGTTGTTGCTTGGACAAAGTATTAATTTTAAATACACTGTCATTATATTTCTTTATACAATGTAGTTTCTTTTAACTATAATAAGCTTTGTATAGTGTTACAACAATACATACTTTTATTTTGTATAATTTCAATTTCACAAAATACTTGCATACTTTTTAAGAATTATTGTATTATGACTCAAATATAGAAATAATAAGCTATGATCCTTTGTTTATTTCTGCATTATGACGTGATTATATTTGGTCGTTAGCCCTAATGCAAGTGCCAATGGAAATTGAGTAAATCACTTAGTGTTAATGAACAGAATCGAGGACTTAGTGTCATGGTTACGCGACACTGTTTTCCAGTCCGTATTCCTGTAATTATTGCTTCAGGTGCCTGAATTCGAGTAATGTCTCGTGGACCAGAACACAGGCTAACAACCAAATGTAATTGAGCCATAATGCTTATCATCCAATTTCCAATAGGTATCGATGGGTGGTTCACTCAGAATTCCAGTGAATAATCAATTTATCTACTTATTGAAAAAAATGCAGTTATCATTTTTGACATTAACAAACAAAGATCAACTTATTTTCTGTAGTTCAACTGGAGGTTCCACTCAGGGGATGAATGCAAAACAAATCCTTTCCTTTGAGTCCTTGTCTAAAACAAGTAAAAATAATTTAGCATTGGTGCTATTGTGCTCAAATGAACTACACTCAAAAAAAGGAAGGGTTCAATTTGCTAACAGTGACAACCAAAATTAGTTATGAGTAGGATAGAACAAGTATCATTAGGGAAATGCGAATTACACAGTTATAAGTTACTAAAAACTTTTTATTTTATTAATTACAATATAAAAGTAAATATTAAATAAATTAACAATAATGTTATAAAAGATTTGAGATTTTTACTACCACTGGTCATTTAAAGCATTCCTTAGCTTTGAGCAATTTTTTTTTACATAATTTTCTTAGCATCACCATCAAAATCAACAGGTCTTTGTTTACGAAAAGAGAAAAACTCAAAATAAATAAAAGTACCAACAGTTACAAAAATAGTGCCAATAACATGTAATACTGTTAAGTTATTCTTAAATATAATAGATGATAACAACAATGATAAAAACTTTCTTAGAGTAAGTATAAATGTAACAGTAACAGAAGTCTCTTTGGTAGCTAACTCATGTACTGAGTATGTGCAATAAAACTGAGCTATAATATTAAGAGTTATGAGAATCCAAGTATCCCATTGCAGATTTAAGGCTGTATTTTGAAGATGAGGGTAAATAGAAACAAAAAAGGGCAAACCAATTGCATGTGTATAAAACATCATCTGGAACAAACAGGCACTTACATTAATAATGTCATTGTATTGGTTGATCTATGGAATATATGAGATAAGCAAAATTTGCTTTGCATACTCATAAATTAGTGGTTTTAAACCTTTAAGTAATTGGAGACCATTTGTCAAATTTTGTCTTACTACGGGAACACTACCTACAATTTGCACCCCTGGAAATTGGAAATCAATTAGCATTCTTCCTTATTATGTTTTGAATGGCTCTGGACCACTTTGGTTGCCTCCAGGGACGAACTAAGTAAGAACCACTGTCATAAAGTAACACAAGGCGAACCAAATGAAGATATAAATATACATTACCTCATCAGGATGTTTGCCATATATTCTAAATAATGTTTCTTGTCGCAGTCCTGTTAGAGCACCAGTAACTAGCGTACTCAATAGTATTGTAACACCAATGCACCAATAGAAGAATGTTCCCTTATTCTCTGTAGTTGGAGCTCCACCAAACATGGCTATTGCTACTCCTATACTAATCAGAACTGAACCAATCGCATTTGATAGCTTAGGTGACTTCTTCCTTGCAATACAATACACTATCATACCAGCTGGAGAAGAAGCAGACCTGAAAAATACATAAGATGGAAACTTGTTCAGCATATTTTAATATTGCCTTAATATCAATTTTATAATAATTATATTTCAGCAACTATAATATATCCAAATTTAAATATCAGTACTTGTACTGAAATTAATAATAAATGATCTTTTATAATTACCGTATTATCATATGTAATGTAGAAGGCACATGCAAGGCATAAACATAATTATTGGATACATGTGTTACAAAAAATAAACCTGTGAGTATGATATACTGTTTTATAGGGATTTTCGGTCTTACCTGAAAAGTGATTAAAATAAAAACGATAACCATGCAAAAACACTTTTCATAACTTATGATTAATGGAAAAGTTACTTACTGTTCCACATTTTGCAGTAAATATAAAACCTTGCAACGATATAAAAAAGAACTGAAGAAAAGTAATTAAATTAGCACTACTGGGCGTCCTAAACATTAATATTTCCATTAGGCACGTACACAAACAACAACTTCCAAAAACTTTCAGTATTGTTTTGGATATATGCATTTTCTCTACTTTATTAAGGTTAGCAGCAGGTAATATCTAATTCCCTGTAATCCATGTAGATGTAAAAACTAGAAAAATAATAACATGTTCATAAACTTATAATAAAAATTTCATGAGGTCGCAATTCGCAAACCAAATTCGCTAACTGTACACAAAAGTTTTACGTGACGTTCCAGATTCATAAACGTCAGTCGTCAGTGTCAATAACATTTACGTATCTGTAAACGAAACGCAACCGGAAATACTGACCCTAGTGATGTGAACGTAGGTACAACTATGGTACAACAGTAACACGAAGATAATATGAGAACGAATAATTGTACCTGTTTTTTTTCAAACAGGTACTTATAATGCGATTCAACTAAGAACAGGATCGACTGGGCGCCATATTTTGACGTCATAGCTGTCAATTCAAACCAAATAGGTAGAGTGAGCAAAAAAATGTTGCTATTTAATGAAACTTATTTACTAAGATTAAGTGAGACAAAACATCAGATTTTTAACAAAATTAGTTTACTAAGGTTGAGAAAGAACAAAATCGATTTTTAATAGTATTTCTTTATTAAGACTGTGTGAAAAAAACATTAATAACAATCTAGCTCTTCAATTTCGCTCAACTCTGCATTACCGCCGGAAAAGCTATGAATAATCATGCAGGTCACATACGAACATGCATCCTATATGTAAACGAAAGTTTTAAATCGAGTTTTTGAACGCAACATAAAGTGACATTTGGTTGACGATTTAGGTTATCAACCATTCATAGCCAAAGCTAAATAAATGAAAAAAAAGCAACTTATATTAATTACCAACATTTGTTATTGTTTGTTTAAATATGTTTGGTTTTTATTCTAGAATCAGCTGAGTGCTAAAAAAGTGTTTCGAGATTTTTTTGCAAACCGTACTTTTCAGGCGACATTTGACAGGTGGAAGTCATTGGCTTTCCTATTCATATTATTTGAATCACATTATATGTAAGCTACTCCTTGCTTTGGTAGGCACGTTAAGCCGTTGGTCTACCTACAACATTGCGTTGCATGTACGTACATATTGGTATTGATTCTGGCATGGTTCTCTTAACCTAAAACTAAATTTAACATCAGTCTCTCCTTTTCATTATGTAAAGAGTATGACAAGGATACACTGTTGTCAAATTTAATTTTAGGTTTAGATAATCATGCCAGAATCGATTCCATTTTGTTGTTATAAATAAAATTAAACAATGTTTTATATACCTACCTATATATAAAGTAGGTCTTTATAATTTGGATTTAATTTATTTTCATTCATTTTTTTTATCTTCATTTCATTCTTAATATCGCATTTACACAATCGTGTTCGCCATTGGCCTTGTGATCTGACGAAACATTCGTATATGAGTGCCGCCCGCCCGCCGTCGCGAATTACTACTGTGCCCTTAGCACGAACCAATATCGAATTCGTATAGTTTGCGAGTACGAAATGTCATTGTCAAATGTGTACTGATTTTTAGTTCTCGTTACGTACTTTGTAACGCTGCTGTTCAAGTTTTCATACAAAATTTGACATTGACATTTCGGACTCGCAAACTATTCGAATTCGATATTGGTTCGTGCTAAGGGTACTGGTCATACATTCGCGTGATGAATAATTTTCACTCTCAGTTCGCACACGAACATGGAGGACGTGAAAATAATGGCGGCATGCGGGCTATATCTATTGGGTTAAT